CACTGGTACAGGTAAGTAGAGGTAAGTATTCCATTGACTGATCGCGGTCAATGTGACAGGTGTTCGGTGGGTGGTGACAGGGTGACCATGGTTACCGCTAATTTGTGCCTGGCTCCGCCCATCCCACCGAATATGCACCTAACGCCAAGCTCATCATTAACGATGAGTTTAAGTGAGGATTTAAGATGGAGAGTTGTACTAATTTCAGCGTTTGTTTTATGCCGGAACCTTCGAGGAAACAAGTGATATTTCTTTTAGTCTAAATGCCTAAATGTATAAATGTCTAAATGTCTTTTTTCGGTGAACAACGTTAATGACATTGACTGTATACTGAAGAAATACTTTTAATGACGACTGTTGTGGTCCCCCTGTAGTTTCTCAAGGCTTGCAACGGCCCCTCTATTGTGAAATACAGATCAACACTGAACTACAGTGCCAGTGTTCACTCGAGTCAAAACCGGAAGAACTATCTTTTAACTTTGTATGTTTCGTTGTTTTGCTATGTAAGTCGTTTTTTGGTTCAATTCTCTCATTAATTTGTTTCAAGGATTTTTCTACGGGCTTTTTGTTTTCCTCCCTCCGCAAAAACCAACTTCTAACCTATGACCAATTTGATAGAATGTAGCCCCAAGTTTGCTAGTCACTAGTTATGAAGTGTACTAGCCTCGAAAACTAGAAATAGATTGGGATAACCTCTTTCACCTCCTTTCACAATTTTTCATGTCTTTTTTTCTTCTTCTTTTTTTCTGTATACAAGGTGATGAATTGTGAATAAACCATTATTTATTTATTTAGAGAGTTTTAGATTTACGTTCAAGGCAAACGTAAAACGTCAGTTGAGCAGTAAAAAAATATTTTAAATTACTGAAAAAGAATCGCAAAAAAGTCCAAGTACTAGAAAAACAAAAGAGTATTTGCGCTTGGTGAGAAGGTTTGTAAAAGGTAAAGTAAAATAGAGGAAAACGATGAAAATGTGGTCACGTTTGCCGTTTGCGGGGAGAAAAAAAAGTCAATCTAAAACTCTCTATTATCTATTTATATTATTCTCTCATGACACGTCCTTGTGATATTTTTCATTCAATGCCTGGGAATGAACTTCAACATAGATTTAATCTACATCAGTATGATTTTAGACTTGAATATAGAGTTTCTCGAACTGTGATTGGTATGACTAAAGCTACGTCTACACTATGCCGGATAAATTTGAATCCGAATTTCTATCTATTCGGTTAGGCCTACCGTCCACACTAGTCCGGGCGAATCCGAAAGCGAATTTTTCGAATACGGTCTCCAGAGTGTAACAATTTGAAAACGCCGGCTAGCCATATTAGTGTGGACGGAAAACTTTTTTTTCGGTTTCGGTTTGATAATTCAGATTCAAATTTATCCGGCATAGTTTGGACGGGACCTAAAAGACTCGCGGCTCGGTAAATATTCCACCGATCATCACTTTGCTTTTGGCGAATAATTGTTAAATATAATAGACGAAGTTAATTTATATCATTTTCTATTCAAGCTTTGTTTAAATCTCAGTTGGCCTACGGCATGGGCTCGTATGATTATGCATGTATATCTAATATAGCCAAAACACCCGCACCACGGATCGCTAAATTAACATTATCCTTAACATGAAAATTTTCGGAAAGTTAATAATCTTCTAGAAGTTTTCTCTTTTCCCCGTCCTATCGGCATTGTGCCGACAAACGACACACAGTTCGTTAATAGGTAGTTAATGGTTATCTTTAATAGTTCTCTAATAGGCATTTAATAATAATAATTATTATTATTATTGTTATTGTTATTATTATAAATTTAATTCTTGTACAGGTCATTACACTAAGTCTCAATGGTCTGTACAACCTATATACAAATTAAAATGAAAATATCACTAGATAGACAATTTAGTTAAACAAAAACAACAAAAAAAAAAAACAAAAAAACAAAAAAACAAAAACAAACAAAAAAACAAAAAAACAAAAAACAAAAACAAAAACAGAAAAAACAAAAACAAAAACGTTTGCAAATATGCAGTGAAACACAGCTCAACCACCATGATGTTAGGTCCGCGGCTTACATTGCCTTGCATCTTTCACTTCAATTCCTCTGAGGGATTCCTATCAGAAAAAGTCGTTTTCCAAAATATTGTGCAATAACGTCTTTCAAAGTTTCAAAATTTATAAAAAATTAATGATTAATTAATTAAATCCCTAATTTGTTATGTCAGTATTACATGCATGAGCCTAAAACACTTTGGCAGGAGTTTGTTTTGACTTAAAATGAAAATATGGTCAATCACCTAGGCTTAATGGGACTGAAGTACAGTCCGCAATCAAGAACTATAAGTGAATATCGTGGCAGTATGAATATGACCAAGACTTTATTCTTCACTTGACTCTGAAGATGACTTCCGCTCAGGTTGTCGAAACATCAGTCCAATCAAACAGTCCTTCTTAGGACCACATCCACCCGGATGATCATAATACAAATATTGTTACTTCAATAAACATTCATTCACCTGGGTTCAGACCATTCTATACAACAAGAACTACTAGTGGCAACAAGGATTCCTCTTCCTCCAGTCTTATTTATTAATATAGGTCATCTGCTAGGGACACTCGTGTTTTAAAGATCACATAATTTGTTTTGATGTTGCATGGTTGGTTAACCAGGACCATACTTCCAGACATCAAGTGCTGAACCGTCGAATGGACTTACGGCTACGCTGGAGATTTCGGCCCCAACACCGCTATCCCGGGAGGAATTACAGACTGATCAGGAAGCTCGGCCAAAGCCTAAGAGAAATGCTAGTCGGCCCCTAAACCATAGATGATTAATCCCTTGGTATGACCAGCAAACCCAGTGTCATTGGAAAAAAGTAAAGTATCTATATTTAACGTCGGTAGTTCCTTCATTTGAAGTTCAACTGCTATCAATGGAAGCCGACTGTGCGCACTTTACCCCCTCTCTCCATCAGTGCTATGAAGACTAAGCAGTCATGGATACTTCTTTCCATGTGGAATGTATTTTGAAAAAGACATTCAAGAATCAGCTAGAGGTAAAAACTGAATATCTTTTTTAAAATAATTACCCAAGGTACCTGACAGGGTGTATTTAGAAGAGGAAAAATTTAAAATATGTACACCAAGTATGCGCATGCGCGTATAAGTATTACAACCAACCATGTAATCTTCAGGGCTCTGTGTATATACCTATCTAAAAAAACGTAGCTGATCAGAAATCTGAAACAATTCACCAGCTCTGGTTTTCGCTCACTGGTGGTGTGAAATTTTAGATTTCCTACCGATTTTTTATAGATTTTTTTAATTTTTTAATCTTTTATTTTTGTATATCGAGAAGCCGTTAATATTGTTCTTTTATGTCAATTATTATAATGAAATTCCTTATCGACAAATATAAACAATTTTTAAAATCAATAGACTTAATTTTAATGGATATTAATTAATAGATTAATTACATTTCATTCTTACTTAAGTTTATGGGTAACAAATTAATTCCTCGCATATTGAGTGAAGTTTCACAAGGGTTGATTTTACAAAGGTTTGAAAATCTGGAAGCCAAACAAATTGCCTTTATAAGCGCAAGAAGTTTTAGTGTTAGAGCTGCACGATCGGGCATAGAGGTAGGACCCGCTAAAGTACAGCCAGTAACTAGGGTTATAGTACGGGTAGCGGAAGCCTACAGTGTCGCCGTACTGTATCGGGTCTTGCCCGTCTACGCTGTTACGAGAGAAGATCTGGAAGGTCAGAAACGAGTAGACGAACGCGTTGTTCCCCTTGAAGTAGCTTTCGCTGACGCACCTAGAAAAAAAGATTGTTGAAATCATTAAGAGACGAAATCTGATTCACAATGGGCTACCTGTGTCCCTTCACACGTGTAAGTGAATCCAAGTCAGTGGGAATCGTCCCCATAATTAGGGCCCTTAGGGCACCCCAAAATCTGCTTATGGCAGAGGTTAGAGGCGAATGCACTATGAGAGACCTTTAGTACAGGGTTTATCACTAGGGATAAGGCCCAAAGACAAGCCCGCAAACATGGAGAAACGGGGGGGGGG